CTAGAGTTTCTGATTTTTGTTATATTAATGTGAGACAGTGCAATGTTTTTTCCTATTCTGTTTTCTCACCTGTTGATCTGTTTTTTTACCAACAAAAGGCATTTATTTTGCTTTGGTTTTTGTTCAGATTGGTTTTAAGTTGGTTGGCTTTGCAGCTAAGCAAATCATAATTGAGTCCGTGGTGCTGTCATACGCTACTCTCGGAAAGACATGGTGACATTTGACACCAGCCTACAAATCATGTTATTTATTTCACTGCATGGGAGAGAGGGTGCAAGTTTGTTTCTGCGTACCATGTGACTGGTAATCCCTGCCTGCAGCATACCATCATTTAACTCCGCAATTCATCTTCCTGTATTGAGGACTTATCTTATTTTTCTGATATTAGTCATATATTGAGTATCTGTTTGAACAGGGATCCATTCCCCTAGTAATAAATTTGTACATAACTCCGTTAAGAAAAACAACCAACGAACAACCAAAAAAAAAAAAGAAAACCCTACTGTCGTGGTTTAAACCCAGTCAGGTAATTCGTTCGCTCACTTCCCCCCCCTTTCTTGCCCTCCCCCTGCTCTCGGAGGGAGGACGGAGAGGAGAATCGAAAAGAATGCAACTCCCACGGGTTGAGATAAGAACAGTTTAGTAACTAAGGTATAACACAAATCACTACTGCTACCACCAGTGATAATAATGGTAAAGGAAATAACAAGGGAAGAGAATACAACACCTCAGCACCAGCCGACCGATAACTTGCCCCCCTCAGCCCAACCAAGCACCGACCGATACCTCCTCCAACCCTGCAGTCCCCCAGCCCTTCCGGCTAACTCCCAGTTACCTCCTGGGCATGACGTGCTGTGGTATGGAATACCTCTTTGGTCAGTTTGGGTCAGGTGTCCTGTCTCTACTTCCTCCCGGCTTCCCCTCCTCCCTGGCAGAGCATGAGGCTCACAAAGTCCTTGGCCAAACCAAAACATCGCTATCAGCTCTGTTCCCAGGCCGAAAGTCAAAACACAGCACTGCACCAGCTACCAAGAAGGAGAAAAATGACTGCTACTCCTGAACCCAGGACACCTACCAAAACCAAGCGAGAACAAAAATCCAAAGGAAGTGATCTTTTCTACTATCTTTAGTTCTAGGTGTTTATTGCATTCAGTTCTGACTCTGAAATATTTTTCCTGCACATTCCTTCTGACGTTTACTAGTTTAACTTCAGCTTGCTCAGGTTGTACTTTCTCATACAGTCCTCAGCTGTCCTAGAGAGGAAAGATGGATCTGGGATTGCGTTTTTCCTGGCATTATTGCTACTTTATTGTAATCGATAGCATGGGCACAATGATGACGGTTGAAGCTGAGCTTTGTATTTTGTATTCCACTTCGATCTGCTGAGTAAGAAAAGTTTTTCATGACAGCACTTGTGGTTTGAAGCTCTTACGACAGAATCATAGAATAGTTTGGGTTGGAAAGGACCTTAAGTTCATCTAGTTCCAACCCCCCTGCCATGAGAAGGGACACTTCACACTAAAGCATATCACCCACGGCCTCGTCCAGCCTGGTTTTGAACACTGCCAAAGATGGAGCATTCACAACCTCCCTGGGCAACCCATTCCAGTGCCTTACCACTCTAACAGGAAAGAATTTCCTCCTTATATCCAAACTAAACTTCCCCTGTTTAAGTTTTAACCTGTTATCCCTTGTCTTATCACTACAGTCCCTAATGAAGAGTCCATCCCCAGCATCCCTATAGCCCCCCTTCAGATACTGGAAGCTGCTCTGAGGTCTCCACGCAGCCTTCTCCAGGCTGAACAGCCCCAACTTGCTCAGCCTGTCTTCATTACAGGAGGTGCTCCAGTCCCCTCATCATCCTTGTGGCCCTCCTCTGGACTTGTTCCAACAGTTCCATGTCCTTTATATGTTGAGGACACCAGAACTGCACACAATATTCCAGGTGAGATCTCACAAGGGCAGAGTGGGGGGGCAGGATCACCTCCTTCGACCTGGTGGTCACGCTCCTTTTGGTGCAGCCCAGGATACGGTTGGCTTTCTGGGCTGCAAGTGTGCACTGCCTGCTCGTGTTCATTTTCTCATCAGCCATCACCCCCAAGTCCTTCTCCACAGGGCTGCTCTGAATCTCTTCTTTGCCCAACCTGTAGCTGTGCCTGGGATTGCTCCCACCCAGGTGTGTAGGACCTTGCACTTGGCATGGTTAAACTTCGCAAGGTTGGCATCAGCCCACCTCACAAGTGTGTTGAGGTCCCTCTGGGTGGCATTACTTTCCTCCAGCATATCAACCAAACCACACAGCTCGGTGTCATTGGCAGACTTGCTGAGGAGGGCGCACTCAATCCCACTGTCCATGTCAGCGACGAAGATGTTAAACCCGGTCCCAACACCGATCCCTGAGGGATGCAACTTGTTACTGGTCTCCAGCCGGGCATTGAGCCATTGACCACAACATTTTGCGTGAGGCCATCCAGCCAGTTCTTTATCCACTGAGTGGTCCATCCATCAAATTGATGTCTCTCCAATTTAGAGACAAGGATGTTGTGTGGGACAGTGTCAAACGCTTTGCACAAGTCCAGGTAGCTGACATCAACTGCTCTACCCCTGTCCATCAGTTCTCTGGCCCCATCATAGAAGGCCACTAAATTGGTCAGGCAGGATTTCCCCCTAGTGAAGCCCTGCTGGCTGTCACCAAGCACCTTGTTGATTTTCATGTGCCTTAGCATGACTTCCAGGAGAATCTGCTCCAAGATTTTGCCAGGCACAGAGGTGAGACTGACTGCTCTGTAATTCCCTGGTCATTCATTTTCCCCTTCTTGAAAATGGGGGTTATATTTCCCTTTTTCCAGTTGTCGGGAACTTCACCTGACTGCCATGATTTCTCAAATATGGTGGCCAGTGCCTTAGCAGCTTCATTCGCCAGCTCCTTCAGGACCCTCAGATGGATCTCATCAGGACCCATGGACTTGTGCCCATTCAGATTTTTAAGATGGTCTCGAACCAGATCCTCTCCTACAGTGGGCGCAAGGTCTTCATTCTCACAGTCCCTGCATCTGCCTTCCAAGACTTGGGTGGTTTGGTCAGAGCCTTTGCCAGTGAAGACCGAGGCAAAGAAGTCATTCAGAACCTCAGCCTTCTGCAAATCCTGTGTAGCCAGTTCTCCTGAGAGCTTCCTGAGGCGGCCTACATTCTCCCTTGTCTGTTTTTTATTTGCTATGCACCTGTAGAATCCCTTCCTGTTATCTTTAACATCCCTAGCCAAGTTTAATTCTAACTGAGCCTTAGCTTTCCTAACCTGGTCCCTAGATTCTCGGACAACATCCCTGTACTCTTCCCATGCCACCTGTCCTTGCTTCCACCTTTTATAAGCCTCTTTTTTCCTTCGAATTTTCCTCAGGAGCTCCTCATCTATCCAGGGAGGTCTCCTGGCCCTCCTGCTGCACTTCCTTCTAGTTGGGATGCAACACTCCTGAGCTTGCAGCAGGTGATCCTTGAATATCAACCAAGAGTCTTGGGCCCCCCTGCCCTCTAGGGCTATATCCCATGGAGCCTTACTAAGCAGGTTCTTGAAGAGGCTAAAGTCTGCTCTTTTGAAGTCCAGGGCAGTGAGCTTGCTGCACACCCTTCTCACTGTCCTGAGGATCTCACATTTGACCATCTCATGATCGCTGCATCCAAGGCTGCCCTGGAGCGTCACATTTCCAATGAGCCCTTCCCTGTTGGTGAGTACGACGTCAAGCATGGCACCTCTCCTTGTCGGCTCCTCTATTAGTTGCAGAAGGAAGTTTTCTTCCACACAATCGAGGAACCTCCTGGATTGCTTGTGGCGGGATGTACCATGCTTTCAACAGATGTCAGGGTGGTGGAAGTCACCCATGAGAACAAGGGTCTGTGAGCGTGAGGCTTTTGCTATCTGCCTATAGTGTGCTTCATCCACAGGTTCTCCTTGATCAGGCGGTCTGTAACAGATCTCCACAGTAATGTCTCCCATAGCTATATTCCCTTTAACCCTGACCCCCAAACTCTCTGTTAACTGCTCACCTGTCCCCAGACAGAGTTCCATACTCTCCAGCCTATCCCTAAGATAAAGGGCAACTGCACCTCCCCGTCTGCCAGGCCTGTCTTTTCTAAGTAGCCTGTAACCTGATGCCTTCCTCCCCCAACACATCTAGTTTAAAGCCTCCTTGACCAGCCTGGCAAGCCTCCTACCAAAACTGCTCTTTCCCTTCTTGATCAGACCAGCTCCACCAGCCCCCACTACACCTGGCCTGCACATTTGGGTCCTGTGTTCTAGGCACCCAAACCCCTGACTATGACACCACCCTTTTAAGCAGTTATTAACCTGGCTAATCCTCCTGGCTTTTTTTAGGTCCTCCCCTGTATCCTGGAGAATGGACGAAAAGACCACCTGAGCTCCAGAGCCCCTAACCACCTCTCCCAGTGCTCTGTAGTCCTTCTTTATGTTCCCCAGGCTACTACTGTCTATATCCCTAGCCACCCACATGTATCACCAGGAGTGGGTAATAGTCCGTGGGACTTACTAGAGCAGGCAGCCTCTCTGCCACATCCCTGATCCGTGCCCCTGGTAGGCAACACACCTCCCTTGAGACGGGGTCAAGCCAACAGACGAGTGCTTCTGTCCCTTTCAAAGTAGAGTCCCCTACTGTTACACCTGCCACTTTTTCCTGGCAGCACCAGTAGAGATCTTTACCAGTGCATAAGCCAGCTGTTTCTGGCTTGAGTGCATTTCCTCATTACCCCCCTTCAGAACAGCAAAGCGGTTCTGCGTGGGGACAAGAGATTTAGGAGGACGCCCCTTGCTTTTTGTTGTCCTCTTCTTCATTTTTTTGTTGTTCTTTTTTTGTCACTAATTCCCAGCTTCCCGGGTTAACGGTTTCCTTCTTTCCTCCATGAACTAGAGGGGACGCTTGAGGCCCCTGCACAGTTTGGGCCGGGAGCAAGCATTCCTGCTTACTCTCAGCTTCCCTGACATCTTGCAGCCTATTGAAGGCATCCCTCAGCTCAGCCACCTGCTGCAGAAGGACCTCGACCACGGAGCACCGAGTGCAGCCCTGCCCATTGTGCGCCATTCCCTCACAAGACCACTGCAGGTGCTCTCTACACTCCGAGCTCTGCACTGCAGCCTCCCCTGCCATCAGCTCTGTCTGGGTGCCTATGCTGGCCACCACCGGGGCAGGCAGAGCAGAGCTCTCGGTCCGGGCCCTGGTCATACGACGAGTGCTCACCATCCTGCTCGCCTACTCTGCCTCGACCCACTCTGCCTGCTGTGTTCACTGCATTCCTGGTCACTTGTGCACCCACTCAGGGCTGGTGCCGCTCCTCTTTTCTCCTCCCCCTGTGAGTCACCTGATCGCATCAGCTGAGCTGCTGGCTCCTTGGCAGGTCCTGTCGGACTTGAGGTTCCCTTAGTGGCTTTTGCCGCTCTGAGTTGAGGCCTCTGGATGCTGATCTCCCTTCTCCGGTGTTCAAGGCATCCTCTTTTGAGCTACTCACCTCAGCAGTTGAGATTGGCCTTGGCCAGTCTCAACACCTTGGTCAACCTCAACGCCCTGGCCAAGCTCAACGCTTTGGCCGACCTCAGTGCTTTCGTCCATCCTCAACACCTTGGCCACCCTCAGTGCCTCTGGCAACCTCAATGCCTCTGGCAACCTCAGCACTTTGGTCAACCATAATGCCTTGATGAACCTCAATGCCTTGGCCAACCTCCACAACTTGGTCAGCCTCAATGCCCTGGCCAACCTGAACGCTTTGGTCAACCTCAACGCCTTGGTCAACCTCAGTGCCTTGGCCTACCTCAGTGCCTTGACCAACCTGAATGCCTTGGCCATCCTTAATGCCTTGGCCAACTTGAAAGACCTGTCCAACCTCAACGCCTTGGTCAGCCCCAACACCTTGGCCGACCTCAGTGCCCTTAGGGGGATTGCCTCAGGGGCACTGCGACCCTGGTGCTGGAGGCAGTGGGAGGGCAATAGGACCCTGGGGCGAGGGGAAGCGGGCGGGCAGTAAAACCCTGGGGCGGGAGGCAGCGGGCGGGATCTAGGACCCTGTTACCGGAGCTATAGGGGTGAGCCCTGGGACCGGTCCCTGACAGGCAGGAGGCATCCGGCAAGCACTAGGACCCTGATTCGGGAGGCAGCGGGCGGGCACTAGGACCTTGATAACCGCGCTTTAGGCGCGGGCATCGGGACCGGTCCCTGCCAGGCAGGAGGCAGCGGGTGGGCGCTAGGACCCTGGGCGGGAGGCAGGGGGCGGGCTCTACAACCCTGATACCGGCGCTGTGGGGGGGGCACTAAGACCCTGATACCGGCGCTGCAGAAGCGGCCATCGGGACCAGTCCCTGCTAGGGAGGATGCAGCGGACGGGCGATAGGACCCTGGGCGGGAGGCAGCGGGGAGGAACTGGGACCCTGATAACGGCGCTATAGGGAGGGGCACTGGAACTGGTCTTTGGCAGGCAGGAGGCAGCGGGCGGGCACCAGCACCCTGATGCGGGAGGCAGTGGGCGGGATCTAGAACAGTGTTACGGGAGGCAGCGGGCGGGATCTAGGACACTGATGCGGGAGGCAGAGGGCGGGCACCCCGACCCTGATACCGCGCTATGGGAGGGGGGCCTGGGACCGGTCTTTGCCAGGCAGGAGGCATCCGGCGGGCATTAGGACCCTGATGCGGGAGGCAGCGGGGGGACACTAGGACCCTGATAACGGCGCTGTAGGGCGGGGCACTGCAACCGATCTTCGCCAGGCAGGAGGCAGCGGGCGGGCACTTGGACTCTTGGCGGGAGGCAGCCGGCGAGCACTAGGACCCGGTTGCGGGAGGCAGCGGGCGGGCTGTAGGACCGTGTTACGGGAGGCAGCGGGCGGGATCTAGGACCCTGATACCGGAGCTATAGGGGTGGGCACTGGGACCGGTCCCTGCCAGGCAGGAGGCATCCGGCGGGCACTAGGACTCTGATTCGGGAGGCAGCGGGCGGGCACTAGAACCTTGATACCGGCGCTATAGGAAGGGCCACTGGAACCGGTCTTTGCCAGGAAGGAGGCAGCGTGCGGGCACTACGACCCCTAGGAGGGAGGTAGTGGGCGGGCACTAGGATCCTGTTACCGGAGTTCTATAGGGGCGGCCATCGGGACCGGTGCCTGCCGGGCAGGAGGCAGCGGGTGCGCACTAGGACCCTGATACGGGAGTCAGCGGGGAGGCACTAGGACCCTGGAATCGCAGCAATGGGGGGTGACTGGGACCCGTCCCTGTCCGGCACTAGGCAGCGGGCGGGCACTAGGAACCTGGGCGGGAGGCAGGGGGTGGGCTCTACAACCCTGATACCGGCGCTATGGGGGGGGCACTGGGACCTGTCCCTGCCAGGCAGGAGGCATCCGGCGGTCACTAGGACCCTGATACCGGAGCTATATAGTGCTGAGTATGCTGGGGTTTCTATCGGCGCCCTGGGGGTGTTATGGGGGCTGGGGCTGCTGGGGTGCAATGGATGCTGTGGGTTCTGTGGGTCCTGGAGGTGCTGGATCTGTTGTGGTGCTGGCAGTGGTGGGGGTGTTGCGGGTGCAGTTCATGCTATGGGTGCTGTGGGCTCTATGGGTCCTGTGGGTTCTATGGGTGCTGGTGGTGCAGTGGGTGCTGCGGGCTCTATAGGTGCTGCGGGTTCTGCCTGTGCCGGGGTTGCTATTGGTGCTCGGGTTCTATGGCTGCTGGGGGTTCAGTGGGGTTCTGTGGGTGCTGGGGCTCTATGGGTACTGGTGATGCTGGGAGTTCTGGGGGTGCTGTAGTTGCTATGGGTGCTGGGGGCTCTATGAGCGCTGGGGGTTCTATGGGTGCTGTGAGCTGTATGGGTGCTGGGGGTTCTGTGGGTGCTAGGGGCTCTATGGGTGCTGTGGGCTCTATGGGTGCTGTGGGTTCTATGGGTGCTGGGGCTGCTATTGCTGCTTGGGTTCTATGGGTGCTGGTGGTTCTGTGGATGCTGTGGGCTGCTATTGTGCTGGGGTTCTATGGGTGCTCTATGTCCAGTTCTATGGGTGCTGTAAGGCAATGCCCTCCTTGTTGTAGGGGTGCAGCAGCACAAGTCCCTCGTGGTCACCTGTAACTACGAAGCCTGGCGCCATGGAGTGAAGAAGTCGATGTCCCTCAAGGAAGCCATGGAGAAGTGTCCTCACTTGGTGCTGGTCAACGGAGAAGATCTCACTTCCTATAGGGAGATGTCCTACAAGGTCATAGGTAGAGAGCAACCACTTTGGTACATCCCATAAGAGCAGCATTTGATGTTCTCCTCTAGAAGGATGTCTTCTACTAAAGGATGCTCCAAGCTGGCCTTGGGCCAGGGATGGAGCAGCTCCAGCTTCTCCATCCAACCCATCCCAATGTCCTACAAGGTCACAGGTAGAGTGCAACCACTGCGTTACATCCCATAATAGCTTCTGATACTCTCCTCCTTGAGCCCACCTTCTAAAGGGTGCTCCAAGCTGGCCTTGGATCAGGGATGGAGCAGCCCCAGCTTCTCCATCCAACCCATCCTGATCATCCCACCACCCTCACAGGGAAGAGCTCTGGACATAGGGGTGGGTTGGAGCACCCTTCCCTCATCGGTGGCCCTATTGGAGCTCCATCCATAGGGAGCCGTCAACCTCTTGGAATCAGTCGTGTCCCTCTTATCCCGGGGTTGTCTTCTCCTCCTGGAGCTCCCGCGGGAACATTGTCCGTTGGTGGGAAGACTTGGTTGGGATGAGAACTTCCTGGAGATCATGGATGGAGGCTGCTTCCATCCAAGCAGATGGGCTGGGATCCCTGTCTCAGGCCACATCTACAAGGAGCAAGGTGAGTAGCCCATGGTCCGCCTTGTCTTCAGAACAGCCAGAGAAGGGGTCTTGGGAATGTCCACGGATCCTGGAATAGCTTGGAGAGGACCTTCAGGGTCCATGGGGGCATCAGGAGGAGGAGGAGCTGGAGGGATGGGACCATGGGAAGCGTGGGATGGGATCTTGGGAAGTTCGTCCCCATGAGGCTGGTAGGACCATGGGAAGCGTGGGATGGGATCTTGGGAAGTTCGTCCCCATGAGGCTGGTAGGACAATGGGAATCTTGGGATAGGATCTTGGGAAGTTCTTCCCCATGAGGCTGGTGGGACCACAGGAGGTGGGAGATGTCCCATCGCCAAGGCCAAGCTGGAGCAACCTGCTCCAGTGCAAGGTGGCCCTGGCTGCACTTTAAGCTCCATCCGTCCCATTCCATGATCTAGGAATGTGCTTCCACTTGATCCAGGTGACCAAACCCTTCTGCAGGAGCGGAACGCCACCCCCTGGAAAACCCATGGAATTTAGGGTGCCAGGTGGGTGCTAGGGTCCCATCCAGGTGGGTGCTGGGGTCCCATCCAGGTGGGTGCTGGGCACCCAAGGACTTCATCCTTGCATTAGACCCAATGCTTGCGGTGTCCTTTAGGAGGCCGGCAGAGCTGGCTTGGGTTGACGGCACCACCAGCATGGATGGGATCTCTCCCGCTTCCCATTATCCCATCTTTCCCACAGGGAAGAGCTCCCATCCCAAGGACCCCTGGGATAGGTTCTGAAGCTCCATGTGTCCAAGGTTCATTCCGTATCTCCCTGCTTCAATTCCTGTTGGGAATCTGGGATAGAATCCAAGCGATGGGACCCCTTCTGCTCTTCGTTCTTTAGTGATGGAGATTCCTTCCCAGAAGCGTTCCTCGGAGGTGGATGTCCAGGAGAAACTGGGAACGATGCCTCCAAGCCTCTCGGAAAGGTCATGGTCGCTCTTCCCAATGGGAATGGCTTGGAAAGGGCCTTCCTTATGGAGTAAAGAGGGATAGAGGGGGGCTTCGTGGTGTCCTTGAGGGTCTTGTCCAAGCTCCTGATCCCATGATCCAATGATCCATGATCCACTGCTATGGCAGCTTCCATAGACCCGGAATAGCACTTACTTCTTGGTGCTCCATGGAATCCACCAGGATGGGAGGCAAGCCCGCGCTCCATCAGGAATGCCGCCGCATCTCCTTCCCAGACTTGGGAAAGAGAAGCTTGGAATGCCTCCTCCAATCCTGTTCTTTGAGGTCATCCCATTTCCAACTCTTTAAGCTTTGGGGATCTTTCCCATTCCTTGATCCCATGGAAAAAGGGGAGATCTTCAGAAGCTCTTCCCTATGGGGCTGCTGGGACAATGGAATGGGGTGGAAGATGCTCCGACCTCCTTTGTCTTTGCTTCTGATGTGGAGGCTATGAGGACATGGCTGGAGCATCCATGTGGGAATGGCCCTGAGGGCTGGAATCATCTCCCATTGGAATCGGGCTTGAGTGGACATAGGAGGCACTGAAACCAGGATGCTGGTTGTTGTGGGTGCTGGGGGTTCTATGGGTGCTGGGGGATCTATGGGTGTGATGGGTGCTGGGGGTTCTGTGTGTGCTGGGGGTTCTATGGGTGTTATGGGTGATGGGGTTCTATGGGTGTTGGGGGCTCTATGGTGATTTGGAGAAAACTCCAGGAACAAACTTGCCAACAGAGTTTTCAAGCTGACAAGCAGGTATTCTTGATTGCGGCGCCAGGAGATACGGGCTCCTCCTAACGTGTGTCTCTCAATTGCCACGCAAGCCGTCCTTTTCTAGCCACTGGGCATACATACCTATTCACGAGGCTACGTATGGGTGACATAATTTTCCAGGAGGTTCCCCGCCTGCGTGCAGAATTGTGGTGGTGGTGGTGGTCTCTGAGGATCGTTTACTTCTTCCAATGATCTTCATCACTTCTGGCAGCCTTTGAAGCACGCGCAGTAGATGCTCACATCAGTTTAATTGGCTCGTTAGCACCAGAGACATAATAATCCTCCTATCCTCCTACTTATCAGGTAGTTGAACTGTAGCCCACCCTGGACATCTGCAGTTCCCAGATACTCCTTATCCCCGTGTCCTGTTCTTCTAGACTTTTTCTTACAACTACGTCAACTGCAACGATTTCTCTTGTGAGAATTCTCAGTATGTTTTCTAAGCTGTAGTCTATTTTTTTTCTCTCTGTGTCATGCACCTCAGTAATTTTCCATTGCTACTGTTACAAAGCCATCAAACTTAACATTACTTAAAACTAATTATAAGGGTTTCTATATTCCATTTTGTGATTTTGTGCCCCCTTGTTTCAATGGGTGCTGGGGGTGATGCGGGTTTAGTCTGTTTTTACCGGTTTCCATCCCTTTTTGTCCATTTCCATGCGGTTTTCCCCATTTCCCACTTTGGGAAACCCACTTTGAACCCATTCAAGCGCAGTTTAAGCCCAAACCCGGCCCCTCCCTTTCCCGCCCCCTTTCCCCACCCCCTCCCTTTCCCGCGCTCCTTGGCCCCGCCTCCTGCGCTGGCCCCGCCCCCCGGCCGTACCACAGCACCACCTGGTAGCATCCGGTAACCACGGCAACGGGAGGGGGGCGTGGCTGCAGCTGCGGGCCAATCAGATCGAGCCTGCCCCAGGTACTGCCCCATACAGCCTTCCCCATAGACCCTGCCTCATAAAACCTGTCCCATAGAGCAAGCCCTATAGAGCCAGCCCCATAGAGCCAGCCCCATGGAGCCTGTCCCATAGAGCCTGCCCAATAGAGGCAGCCCCATAGAGTCAGGCCCATAGAGCCTGCCACAGGTACTGTCCCATAGAGCCTGCCCCATAGAGTCGGCCCCATAAAACCCGTCCCATAGAGCCTCCCTGTCCTGGTTTAAACCCAGCTAGATGGCTTGTTCACTCACTTCCCCCCCTTCTTGCCCTCCCCCTGCTCCCAGAGGGACGGAAAGGAGAGTCAAAAAGAATGCAACTCCCACGGGTTGAGATAAGAACAGTTTAGTAACTAAGGTATAACACAAATCACTACTGCTACCACCAATAATGATAAAGGAAATAGAAGGGAAGAGAATACAACACCTCAGCACCAGCCAACCGATAACTCACTCCCCAGGCCCGAACAAGCACCGACCCATACCTCCTCCAACCCTGCAGTCTCCCAGCCCTTCCGGCTAACTCCCAGTTACATCCTGGGCATGACGTGCTGTGGTATGGAATACCTCTTTGGTCAGTTTGGGTCAGGTGTCCTGTCTCTGCTTCCTCCTGGCTTTCCCTCCTCCCTTGCAGAGCATGAGGCTCACAAAGTCCTTGGCCAAACCAAAACATCATTGTTATCAGCTCTGTTCCCAGGCCGAAAGTCAAAACACTGCACTGCACCAGCTACCAAGGAGGAGAAAAATGACTGCTACTGCTGAACCCACGACACTCCCCCATAGATCCTGCCCTATAGAGCCAGCCCCATAGAGCCTGCCCCATAGAGCCTGCCCCATAGAGCCTGCCCCAGGTACTGCCCCACAGAGCCTGCCCCATAGAGCCTGTCCCATAGAGACTGTCCCATAGAGCCTGTCCCATAGAACCTGACCCATAGAGCCTGACCCATAGCTCTGCCCCAGGTACTGCCACATAGCACTGCCTCAGAGAGCACGCCCCAGAGAGCCAGCCCCAGAGAGCCTGTCCCATAGTGCCTGCCTGTCATGGTTTAAACCCAGCCAGACAGCTCATTCAGTGACTCCCAGTGAGAGGTGCCGGGCTGGAAGCAACCGAGGCCTGTGTCCCCCACCCCAGGGGCTCTCCCCTTCCCTGCTCCCGGAGGGATGTGGAGGATAATTGAAAGAGTGCAACTCCCATGGGTTGAGACAAGAAGAGTCCAGCAACCAACGTACAACACAAATCACCACCGCTACCACCAACGACAACAATGATAAGAGAAAATAAGGGAAGAGAACACGGTACCACCCGCTGAGAAACGAGTCCGACTCAGAAGACCCCGTGTCCTTCCAGATAACTCCCAGTTACCCCCCGGGCATGCCGTGCTGTGGTATGGAGTACCTCTCTGGCTAGCTTGGGTCAGGTGTCCTGTCTCTGCTTCCTCCTGGCTTCCCCTCCTCCCTGGCAGAGCATGAGGCTCACAAAGTCCTTGGCCAAACCAAAACATTGCTATCAGCTCTGTTCCCAGGCCGAAAATCAAAACACTGCACTGCACCAGCTACCAAGAAGGGGAAAAATGACTGCTACTGCTGAACCCAGGACAACATACCAGCAAAACCTTCATACCCATGCTCTTGAGCCAACAATAAAAACCAACAGCCGTTCTGTTCTGTAGTGAGCTGTGCCTCACAGAATCAACGTCTCAAAGCAGCCCTGGTGTCCAGTGGTTCCCTTTCCGGGCTTAAATGTTCCCAGTCTGTTCCCAGTGGCTGGAAAGCCTGGTTGCTCCCGCAAGGATACGCTCTCTGTTGACTGATTCTCCAAGAAGAGCCCGGTTAACTGGGCACAGTTCCCACGGGTTAACTTCAAACCGGCAGTGAATTGGCACCAATCTTCATTGGCAGCCGTCACTTGTATAAACGGACAGGTTCATCGTGTGGGGATCCGTCGGAGCCCTCGTTCTGTGCAGACACAAGCACAGCCTCTTGTGGAGACAGTGTTCTCCCAGGGGAATGGATATTTGGTGCATGAACTCTGACTAATCCCAAAAGATACAGCAAGGCCATGAGAGGCCCAAGGAAGCTTAAGCAAGCAAGATAAGAAGAATCTGGAATTCACTGAGTTATGAGAACTGTGGACTGTTGGCAAGCTTTTGAGGTCAAGTTCTCACACCTGTGCTTAACCAATTGGTTGTTAGTCACTAAGGGTGTTCAAGACATGTATCCAATCATAATACGCCAAATCCCTGTAAGTGCATGTAAGCAGTAGTATATAAAGAGTTAAGGCTTTGCAATAAACGGCTTTGGTCTGATCAGATTGATCTCTGACTGAGTCCATATATTTTCTGCGGAAGGTTTCCTGGCTGGAAAGGCTTTAGAGGAGCTGTGGCAAAGTGAGTTGCTTTGAAAGCCTTCCTGAGCTGTCAGCTAGAGCACCATCAGCTGCTCTGGGTGTAGTGACATCCTGCAGGTGGTGTTGGGAGCGGGACACAAGGTCATGTGTGACCCTGAGGTACAAAGCTCCTCTCCCTGCTCACCACTGGGGAACCAAACCTCAGCCTTACATTGAATTTCCTGCTTCAGGTGTACAACGAGCAGATCTATGACCTGCTGGAGCCCAAGGGACCTCTAGCTATCCGGGAGGATCCTGAGCGAGGAGCTGTGGTTCAGGGCCTCTCCTTCCACCAGGTAGGCATTAAAATGGGCACACCAGGTATAAGAATGGGCAATGCTGCACCTCCACCAGTTCTGAAAGCAGATGTGTCCTGGAGATAGGGGGTGTCTGAAGATAGGGGGGTGCCACCTGCACAGCTCTTGGCTGGCAGCAAACATGAGCCTGAGCTGAAACGAGGCCCACGATGCTGCAGGATGCCAGAGCTGTTGGTGCTCTGTGTTGGGTTGTGTCTGTGCCTGCAGGTGGGGCACACTGGTATCATCCCTCTCCCTGTTCTGTCCCAGCCTGCATCAGCAGAGCGGCTCATGGAGATGTTGGCCAATGGCAACAGAAACCGGACGCAGCATCCCACTGATGCCAGTGCTGTCTCCTCCTGCTTGCATGCCATCTTCCAGGTGAGGGCTGCTGGAGGCAGTGTCACTGGGGGTTTGTGCTTAAAAAGAGATGAGGAAGCAAGGCCATACCAGGACCGGGGTTCCTGCCACTGCTCCTCATGTGCCACGGGGTAAAGCAGAGCGGTTGTAGCCCTGCAAAGAGAGGTATGGGGCTGAACAGGGCCCTGGCCACGCTGCTGCAGGACGGGACGTACTGGTCACGCTGGTGGCCACACCTCCTGGCCAGCTCCATGCTCTCAGCTTGGTGCTCTGCCCCTTGGGGCTGAAACTTCACTGTGTGCTTTTGACTCTTGTTGACTCAACGTGTGGCAGCTGTACCTAAAACTTGTCCCAGAGCAAAGGGGCTGGTTTGTGCTCGTGCCTTGAGCAGGCTGTCTCCTTCATCATGTCTTCCTTGGCGCTGAGCTGGGAATTACTCCCGCAGAGTAGTTCCTGAGAAAAATTCCCTCAGGGGCTCTGTAAATGGGCTCCCCAGTTTGGTGGTGCTCTCCTATGCACACCTGCCAGGTGATTTCAATTGCAGCCAGGCCCTCTCCTGAATGAGCAGGGCAGCCATGGCTGCGTGGGGAGACGGAGGGCTCTGACTGCAGTTTCAGTCTGAACCTGGTGTCTCATCCGTGGCTGCTTGCAGAGGGAAGCCCAGGTGTCTGGATGCTTTTCCAGGCGGCATCCCAGCTGGGTTTGTTGGTGGGTGCTGGATTCCTGCCTGCTGTGAATCCCTTCGCTGTGCTGGGAATGTGCCCTTCCCGCTGCCAGCTTTGCCTCCTGGCAGGCGAGCCACAGTCCGGTGAGGATGCAGGACCTGTTAGTGGGCTCCAGCAGTCCCATGGCACCTCCAGTCCATGCAGGTGTTGTTCCTAGGGGGCTGAGTGTGTTTTAAGGCTGTGGAGAAAGCATTTGCATTCTCCAGGGAGACCTTTAGGGATGCAGAAGATGAAGTGACGGAGCGATGCTGCCTGACGAGTCTTGGTGACTGTGTCTCTCCTTGCCCACACCAGCTGGGATCTGGGCTCAGGACGGAAAGCCCTGGCTGATGCCTGCAAAGGGGCACAGAGAGCCACTGTCTTTTGGGGGCTTGTAGCCCCCCATTGGTGTCTTGAGTTTGACAAAATGCACTGGAGCTGGGGCTCTGGGTGGTGTTTGGCCCTCTGTGGACCCAGCCGGCTCTGCCCTGCTTGTGCACCAAGCATAGGAGATGCTGGTTATTTTCTATGGCTCTGTCACTTCCTGCAGGATCCCTTTCATGGTTTTGCTGCTTGTGTCATCACTGAGATTTTGGCTTGTCTTCTTGGCGTGCCAGGCTCCTCTCTGCCTCACAGCCCACACGATCCACTTGGCCATCCTGTTCCAAACATCACCCTCTTGCCCTGCTGTTGAGCCGCCTCCAATCGCCGACCCCATGTGCCTTGTCGAGCTGCAGCCTCACCCATCTCTGTCCTCACAGATCCACGTGAAGCAGCAGGACTGCACTGGCAGCCTCAGTCAGGGTCTGAAGGTGGCCAAGATGAGCCTGATGGACCTGGCAGGCTCAGAGCGAGCGTCGGTCGCCAACAGCAGGGGAGAGCGGCTGCGGGAGGGGGCCAACATCAACCGCTCGCTGCTGGCCCTCATCAACGTCATCAACGCCTTGGCTGATGCAAAGGTAATGCTGTTTCCCACATGGCCCTGCTGGGCTCTGGCTCCCTGGGCTGGCTGAATGTGAGTGGTGTCCTCAAGTTTCAGTGCTGCTGGTGCTGTGGGGTGAGCGCATCCATCCCCTTGTGACTCAGGGGTAGGAGCTTAGTGCCCGGGGGCCAAAAGCTGAGCAGATCCTGGCTCTCTTGCTCCAGGGCAAGAAAAGCCACATCCCGTACCGGGACAGCAAGCTGACACGCCTGCTGAAGGACTGCCTGGGTGGCAACTGCCGCAGCATCATGGTGGCGGCAGTGAGCCCCTCTGTGCTGGCCTATGAGGACACCTACAACACGCTCAAGTATGCCAGCAGGGTCAAGGAGATCAAGCTGTCGGTGAGGAGCTCATGTGGTGGGGGTGATGTGTTTGTTGTGTGTGTTTGGGAGCTGCTACTGGATGGGAGGGAGTCTGCTGCATGCTGGGGTAGGTGAGTGGGAGCCTTCCTTCTCCAGCGTGAGTTTTCCAGCCCTGGGGGTGCTGCTCTGGGCAGAAAGCAGCTGATGGAGCTGCAGACAGTGTGTGCCCAGGCTTCTGCTAAAGCTCCCCAGCCCCAAGCCTAAAAAGGCTTGTGACTGTGGCAATAGGTCCCTGAAAACAGATTGTGTCTGCTGCAGCCAGCCCAGGGCTCCATGGGGACCCTGCATCCTGGAGGAGGCTGAAGAGCTGCCCTGCTCCGGTGTCAGGAGAGGGTATGTGCTGCCCCAGTGCTTCTTTAACCTCTGTCTCGTCCCTGTCTCTGCAGCTGAAGAGCAGCACGTGCAGCTCTGACTCCCACCTCTGTGGATATGTGGAGATGTGTGAGCAGCTGAAAGGGAAGGGGAGATGCTGGTGGGGAGGACAGGGCTCTGTCTTTAGCTGTGGTCTGTTTGGGATGCAAACCTCTGAGCTCCAGGGGTCATAAAACCATCTGAGCAACAGAAGATCCCTCCTTGCAGGTGGCAGAGCTGCGGGCAAAGCTTCGTGCTTATGAGGATGGTGCCCGAGTGGCGCAGAACCAAGCAGCAGGGCCACAGGCTCCTTCCAGCGTGAGCCCAGTGGAGCTGCCCAGGTGAGGCTGGGGTGAAAGGAGCAACAGAGCTTTTGTGTGTGACCTCCTGTGGTGTCCCCTGCAGGGTTTTAGTGCTGGTGAGAGCCTAGTGCCTGTCAGGAAGCAGAGGAGCTGCTGGTGTGCAGCATCATCTCAACTGCAGCTGGGTTCAGTTCTGAACCTGCTGGAGCAGAGCACACAAGCCCCAAGGGAAGCTGGGTTTCAAAGGCCCAATCTTGTGTTTGATCCATCCCAAGACTTCTCATGCAAAATGGTGCTTCAGCAGAGGATCTTCTCTGGCTCAGTGCCTGCTTCTCTGGCTTCTGTAGGTTGGAGGAAGCTGTGCCAAAGCCATGCTTGTCCCTTGATGATGAGGGGGAGGATGAGGGAGAGCAGCAGGAGCTGCAGGCTGGTTTTCCTGTTCAGATGCAGTTGGAATCGGAGGGCGAGGTGAGAGAAGGGATGGGCAGCACAGGAGGGCTTGGGGTGATGAGCAGGGCCCAGAAGAACCTGGGGCTCAACGGTGTCCTAGTGGCAGCCCGATGCCTCCCGCATCAGGGTCCTAGTGCCCCCCGCTGCCTCCTCCCTGTCAGGAGCCGGTCCCAGTGCCCGCCCCCCTATAGCGCCGGAATCAGGGTCCTAGTGCCCGCGCGCCGCCTCCCGCAACGGTGGCCTAGTGGCAGCCCGATGCCTCCCGCATCAGGGTCCTAGTGCCCGCCCGCTGCTTCCAGCAACAGGGTCCTAGTGCCCGCCCGCTGCCTCCTGCCTGGCAGGGACCGGTCCCAGTGCCCCCTCCCCAGTAGCTCCGGTATCTGGGTCCTAGTCCCCGCCAGCTGCCTCCCGCTTCATGGCCCTAGTGCTCGCCTGCTGCCTCCTGCCTGGCAGGGACCGGTACCCCCCCCCCCCCCCCCCCCCCCCATAGCTCCGGTATCAGGACCCTAGCGCCAGCCCTCTGCCTCCTGCAACGGGGTCCTAGTGCCCGCCCGCTGCCTCCTGCCTGGCAGGGACCGGTCTCAGTGCCCCCCCCGCCATAACTCCGTGCCACAGAAAATATATGTTCTCAGTGAGAGATCAATATGATCAGACAAAAGCCATTTTTTAAAAAGCCGTAACTCCTTTTGTAGTATTTCTTAAATGCACGTACAGTGATCTGGCATATTGTGATTGGATACATGTCTTGAAGACCCTTAGTGACTAACATATAATTGGTTAAGCACAGGTGTGAGAAATTGACCTCAAAAGCTTGCCAACAGTCCACAGTTCTTATTAACTCGGTGAATTCCAGCTTCGTCTTATCTTGCTTGTTTAGGCTTCCTCGGGCCTCTCATGGCTTTGCTGTATCTTTCAGGATTATTCAGAGTTTATGTACCAATTATTCATTCTCCTGTGAGAACACTGCCTCCACATCTCCCCCTTTTTGTTTTATATATGTTTTGGGTGACCCTACTTGAGCAGGGGATTTGCCCTAGATCATATCTCCAACATATGCCAACTACAGGCTGCTGGGCCTGCCCCTTTTTTCTGCTGTATGGCTCTCTGGTAACAGGGGATGCCATCCTTCACATCAAGGTCTGGCATGGCATGTGTCCCCACCTCCAACAGTGGAGCTAAAGGTTCTTCCTGGTGGCAAACACAGAGGCCAACCCAGCCTTGCCCTTGATTGTGGTAGCAGGCATTTGGTCAGCCTCAGTCCTTGCACCTTGTTGTCAACGCAGAGTTTCACCTGCTTCATCCAGTAACAAGTTGCTACTACTACAGCAAGGCACACACAAATTTACATTAGCAGAGTGCAGCAGCATGTTGATGATGTTGATGGCAGCGAGGGACTAGCCAAAGAAATTTCTTACCAGTGGAATTCTCCCACCCTCTTAATTTGTTCCATTACCTGCTTTATAACACTACCATTGTATTAAAATCTAGCTTTTGCCTTAGCATTTTCTAGCAGCTATTGCAAATTTGCATACTCTAACATCTCTTTTACAAGTGACAAATCCATGCAATACAAGGTGTAGATTCTTATTAGCAACTGACTAGTAAATATAGGTGGTTTTATACACAAAATCACAACCTCTAATAATAGCTACTTTACAAGCACACATATTCAGGATGTTAGTTTTCAGTTGCCCCCAAGTGATGTTTTGCAGTCATTCGTTTTTCTCTTCCTCTATCTCATTCTGCTTGGGGTATTCACAGTCAGCTCCTGTAGCTGAGGCATCAGGTTTTTCCATTCGTCTGTCCAGCTCATGGCAAGGCTTGACAAACTTTGCAGGCAGTTGCCATGGACCTGTAGGCAGGAGGACACAAATATACCCCCTCCCCAGGTTATCAGTTCTTGAGAAGTAGACAGGTTAAACTGCACATTGTTAACTGGCCAGGAGTTTGCTGCATCATTCATCATTGCTTTTTTTTTTTTTAATCCAAAGTCGCTCACCCTACAAACGCCGGCCTGCTCGGCAGCAGCTACAGCAGCCTGCCTGCTTCAGCAGCAACCATTAATACCTCCCAGAAACAATGCACAGATTCTGTTCCTTCATTGTTAACTGACACGTTTCCATGACCTTTGGGAGTTCAAGTCGTGGATGGGACCCCACTCTGTAAGCTGGCAATAAATAAGGTATTACAAGGCCTTTTAGCAAATGGCAATAGAAGTTGTCTTCTCCAGAAGTCTTGGCTTTCTTCAGAGTACCTGGTAGGAGATTCAGTCCCCTCTTCCACCCAGCCTTTCTAGTACTAGCAAGTTAAGGAACAAGGCTTGCACAAGATCCAAGGTGCACACAGTTCAGGTTTGAAGCTTTTAGAGCACAGGATTAGAAGGGGTGCCAGTACCATTTTGATTTGATAATCCAATGCATTATGCTTCGACATTCCACACAGGGAGGAGCTGCCAGGCTCATTTCCCCCCTCAGGCACTTTAAAACCAGGATGAATTGCAAGGGCATATGTATTCAGAATAAGAGTATAAGTTGTGTTTCTTTCCGGAGGCGTTTGATACATTATACTGCTATACTTTGAAGGGTATCGTTTGTGATGCCTTCCCAGTGATGCCAGAAGCTTCCAAAACATATGCTTAGGTGCCCTTTTCAGTATTTCTTCTCATCTAAATCAATAATTCAATGTGCTGGGTCTTTCCTATCCACTAGGAGAAGATGCACAATCTGGTAGAAGCGCCTTTCTCAAGTTATTTGCAGTAAACAGTGTATATTTCCCCATCTGCATGCCTTCAGGCCTTCCTTCCTCATAAAGAAAAGGCAAATGACTTCCCAGAATGCTTAGACAGAAGTGTTCACCAGCAAACTATTTTCTAGGTGATGGATTTGCCGCTCTGCTGTAACAACCATCTGAACAGAAAGCCTTTTACTGAGGCTGAGATTGGCATGCACCCATTGAAAGCCTAAAGGAGAAGAGCATCATGGCTTGAGAGGTCCAAAAGCAGTACAGGAATTTAGGGGGAAAGCAGTGTTTCAGTTAGAGCCCATCACCCCTTGTCCTATCACTGCAGTCCCTGATGAAGAGTCCCTCTCCAGCATCCTTGTAGCCCCCTTCAGACACTGGAAGCTGCTATGAGGTCTCCACACAGCTTCTCTTCTCCAGGCTGACCAGCCCCAATGTTCACAGCCTCTGTCCCACATAAACATGCTAGAGCACAGAGTACTATAATACAAAGACCATACCAACCCAGCTACAGCCTTTCCCAGGTGTATCAGAGTACCTGTCCCATGAGAGGTACACACCACCCCCCAGACCACCTAAACTACAACAAAAAGGTGTTTTGATCAGAGCTCTGTGGACTAGGATGAATTCAGGGTTAAGGGTGATGCTGCTTCCATGCATAGGCTGGCTGCTCCTGCCTCTTCCCAGAAGAGGAATGTGCTTCTCAGAACACTATTAGCAGCCTAAGGCAGCCCTTATCAAGCTTGGGTTTACATCCAGCGTGGGCATCCTCTAAGTCACACATACAAAGCTCCCTCCCTTTGCCATTCTCCCTTTTCCCCCGCACAAATGCACTTCTGTATACACATCATTTTGTGTCTCCCAGCCATCTCCCACTTGGAATGAGGGCTGCACTTCCACGCCAGCAATACTGTACAGTGTATTTACAGGGGAAATGATTATTAATGTCTATAGTTTGTTTCCCTATTGGCAGCTGGCCCTTTAATTACAGAGGCAAAATGCAAACAAAACACTTGTTTGTGAAGAGGGAGACAAGAAGAAGTGTTTTGTCCCGAGGTTGATTAGATTCACTGTTTTAAAAACACCATTCAATTAGACCCATCGAGTGGAGGTTCGGGGAGGCAAAATCAATTACCCCCAGTGGAACGCAGCCAGGATGCTGCGCTTTGCTTTGTGACAGTCCCAAGGGCCCTGAGATCTGCAGTACCTACAGGTGGTCAAGGTCTCCTGCTGGTTCTCACTGAGAACGGTCACTTTTAGGGGCAGCCCACCCCTGTTTCGTGATGTGTTTTAGGAAAGCTTCACACCATCTTGTTCTGCACCTGGCTCCCCACTGTGCCAGGGTTTTCCTTCGAGACCTTCCCTCTAGGAATGCAGAAAATTCACCCCTTGGTGTTCACGTTACTGATGATTATCTACGTTGTAGTTGATCTAGATTGGAAGAGAGAGCAGACTCCTCCCAAACCCCACACACAGTTGCTGGTAGTACATCTGTAGTTGTAATTGCACCCTTTTCTCTGCTGCGACTTGTCAAGTTCCATTACAAATGGGTATTGTACTCATACAGCGTTATATCCCATGTTCTATTTTATACCTGAGGCCAGACTAAATGTTCATCTTTCAGTTACCTGTGTTCAAGACCTCCATTCTTTCCTTTTTAACAGGATGTTATCCCAGTAAAAGCAGCAACCCTGCATTTTTGCAGGCCAGGACTCAAAATCCTAGAGGACTCCCTCAGCATCTTCCCTCTCCTCTGAGGATGCCGAAGCCCCACAGTAGCCAAAAGCTGGGAGTGGTGCTAGTTCTTACTAGGATTACCATCACACACAACATTAACTATGAAAACAAGCAGAGTTAATAAGTGAATTGCATTCAGATACTCAACCCACAGCCTTTTCGCCTGAATATGTCTCATATGCAGCTTCCTTCTTTCTGAAAGCCTCTTGGATGCAGGCCGGAGCACTGACCTGTTAGGTTATTCTGGTCACCCCCTCCATCCTAGCCTCTTTGAGGCTCCAATCCCATTACACTACAAGACATAGAATGCAAAATCACATCCTACATGCTGAGCTATGACAGCTACATACATATGCATCCCTAACTAAGTGTCACTCATCTGCCGCATAACTGGTGCCTTTGGTCATGCCTTTCCATCACTCAGTGCTGCACTGCACTCCTGTCACATACATGCTTAGTGTTAAACCTAAAAAGAACCTGCTTCTTAGTCATGCAACATAAGAGAGGCCAATTAAACACAGGGATAAACTGCTATCCAGGATGTCCCAGCCACTAGACACGTTATCAGTACTTCAGCAGTGCTAAAGACTCAGTCCAGTCAGTTCTGGCATCTTTGTGTAGTTCAGCACAATGTAGTCAACAAGAGGCAAAATACAGGTTTGGTTTTCACATGCAGGCTCAGCACAGACAGATTCAAGTCTTGGACTGCATCACCTTGACAAAGAGAGATGTGCAGAACTCATGATCCTGGTAACCAGAAAAAGGGCAAGAAAAGTACCCAAACAGTGCTTCCAGTTGCCTTGTGGTTATATCCCATCCTCACTGCTTTCTTCTGAGACCTACAGCACCTTAACATTGCTCCTCTATTGCCGAGCTCTTCGATCCATATAGAACCAGCAAAGCAGCTCCAAACAGACCTTCTTCTTCAACCATCAACTTCTTGTGCAGCTTCCTCACAGGCTCTGAAATCACAGCTGATCTTCAGCCTTCCTAATGTCCTCATGCAAGGCTATTCATTCCCTTGCTGTCTTCCAATTGCTTAAATGACCTTCACAGGGCTTTGGGCAGCTTAAACCTGTGCTCACCCTGCTCACCAGTCAAGTATCCAGGCGTATAGCCCTGTACAATCCCAAAGGACTATATGCTTGGAAAATGCACCCGGAATGAGTGAGGAATGAGAATGACTTTTTCACCAGTGCTAATTTAAATGAGCACAGATCTATCCCTACCAGCTTCTCTGGTTGATGCTAAAGGGCCACCAACTCCTTTCAATAGTGTGGGCAGCAATGCATTAGGGAATCTTAGTTAAACTCAGAGTGAAAATGAGGGGTTTGATGAGGCCTTTTTGCCTCACTCCTCCTTAGGAGCATCTCAACCCATGTGAAAGCTTTTCTTAGCTATGGGTAAATCCTATTTCCATCACCTTGAGAGCTCCTTCATTATTCCACTCCTTTCAGGCATGCGGATAGGAAGGGTTCCAATCCATTTGTGGTGCTGTTGTTTGTGACCAAGTCAGTGGGGCAGCACTATGGACCTGTCAAATTAAAGCACATTTTCCCCCTATTTCAGCTTGCTATGGATTGCAAAGCTGCAGATGTAACTCCCCAGGTAACTGACAGGAAAAACCCAGCATGAAGCTGGGGCTGTACCTTGCAAAGCTCTCTGGAATGAGACTCGTGGGGCTTTTAAAGTCAAAGAACATCTCGGCACTGGGCTGTAGTTGAGCTCATCTAAACAAAGGTCAAATGAGCTGACCCAGTGGCTGCTTGTGGTTTGTCTCAAGTCTCTCCTCAGTCATCTCGAGAATGCAGGAATCGGGATTTTTGGTCCTGTCTGGAGGCTGGCAAGAGCTCTAATTAGAAGCCAGGCCATGAGATGGTGGATTCTTGGGACTCCTTTCTAGTCCTGTCATTCTGAAATGGCCACTCTAAAATAATGCTGCCATAGTGATAAGAATAATGCTGCCATAGTGATAAGAATAATGCTTTTATTGTTGTCCTTATGGTATGTTTGCCCTTACAATTAGTGGGTATTTATGGATTAGTTACAGCTGAACATCACTAAAAAGAAGACAAAAGGACTCAAAAACCCCCAAAGAACTGAGCAATCTCATGGTTTTCTCCTGGCAACCCATGAGTCCAGATGAGAAGGCAAAAAGGGAAGAGATGTAGCACATCAACCACCTGTATGTGGGGCATCAGGACCTGCATTTCTGCCACCTCCTTCTCCTTTTCACCATCTATTAGAATAAAGGATTTAAAGCCCTTTCCATTCGCCATTCAGAATGCAACACTTCCAAAAATCAGGCTTATATATATATATAAGTATAGTATATAAGTATAAAGTATATAATATATATAGTATGATATAAAGTATATAACAAGTATATAATATAGTATGTAAGTATAAAGTAAGCATCCACCAGTCACAGGTTTGTCCTAAAGGAAAAGGCAAGTCTGAGATACAGAACTACTCTCTTTTATTCTAGATACGGTTCCTTTTGCCTTGTGAAGGGTTTAGACTGGTCATAGAAATACCTATGTTGCAGACATGAAGCTGAGCACAGATTGCACCTCAAGTGGTTCATGCTGATGACTGGAACAAGGGAATCAAAATGTGTCCCTAAATTTCAACTTCTGACAGTTTGGGTTCAGGTGGGAGACACCAAATCCTGGAACAGAAGAGGGAATTAGGTCTGGAATCTGCTCTGGTGGATAAGTCCCTGGGACAGTGCAGTAGCAGGAGGGAATTAGAACCAGAATGAGTCTGGTTTCTGAGCAACCTCAATTATCTGTTAATGGCCCAGCATTGCATGGGCAAATGTGCTCTAAATTAGTCCAAGTCCCTCTCCTGTAATATCAACCAAGCTCATCGGATGGGGGACATTTCCTGCAGGCAGGGTAAATAGTTGAAAATGCTGAAAGCTTTTTTTTGCCATCATTTCCCTCAAACTTCCAGGGCTCAGAGTGATAGCTTTAGTGCCAAACGATCCACTGCTGCAGCAGCCGGAGGTTACAGATGGCCTTGGTAAAAACCCCCATAAAGTCTATGGGCAACAGGCAAACAGGAGAGAGAAAGCACTTGCAGACAAACACTTCAGAGAGGATCCTGAATTAAAGCAGAGACACCCGGGAGCAGGGCAAGGAAGCTTTTCACAGCCATTCATTAGTTACTCATTACTATCAACTATTAGTTGGATAGAGAATCACGCACATTCAGTTCCAAATGGGGTAGCTGAGTCAGCCCACTTGAAGTGCATCCATCAGAGCAGGGAAAGAGCTGAGCAGGCCCCAGAGGTGGCACAGAGGCAGATGTTGCTGCGTCACTGATGGACAATGAATGAGTGCCTGATCTATTTTGAGTGCTTGATCCTATTTTTGCAGACATTCACCCTCAGTGCTCTGCTGCTGTCAGGCTGCTGCACTGCGTAACCTTTCTGCCCCCCGCAGGTCTGTGTTAATCCAGTTTGGATGAGGAACAGCACACGAGCCTCCAGCTATATGATTCCCAGCTCCCGCTTCCCACTGTTCCCTGCCCTCCATCCCTCATCCCCATCCCTCCCCATGGACCAGAAAAAGAGGTGAGCATGCAAAGCATCCTCTCTATGGGAAAATAAGGCAACTTTACTGAAGGTCAAGCCACCTGCAAGCGATGGCACTCCTCAAGTCTTCTCCCCCCTTAGAGCCTGCAGCAAGTCCTGCATCCGAGTGATGAATTCCAACAGCACCCGAACAGGGAAGTAGCAGAAGCCACTGATGCTCGAGGCCGTGGGCGCAGGCATTGTCTCCTGGACGGGGGTATGGGAGACGTGCTGGTGGCTCCATGTCGGGGGCATCGCGAAGGCGGCCGCGGAGCGGAATGTCCTCAGCTGGTAGAGGATCCACTCATGGAAGTGCTGCGTCGAGGTGTAGACCCCCGGTCTCTTGGCCCTGGCGCAGCCGCGGCCCCAGCTCGTCAGCCCCACAACCCAGTAGAAGTTGGCTCGCTTGTCCCGGCACATGAGGGGACCGCCGCTGTCACCCTATGGAGGAGAAGGAGCGGGGATGGGGATGGGTCGCCATGGCAATGCCGGAGGGGACCACCACTGTCAGCCTATGGGGATGGAAGGGTTCTCCTTCATCATTTGGGTGTGGAGAGGGATCTTCAGCATGAATTGGAGCCATAGGATGAGGGCTGATGGCATCCAACTGGAACAGGGGAGTTTGGGTTGGAGATAAAGAGAAGTTGTTCCATATGAGGGTGGTGGGACACTGGCATGGATAGGATGGAGAAGGATGGATGGGGCTTGGGGCAATCTGGTCTAATGGAAGGCGTCCCTGCCCCTTGCTTAGAACTGGATGCTTTAAGCTCCTTCCCAACCTAAGCCATTCCATGAATCCATGCTCATGACATGGTTTAGTGGTTGAATCTCAATGCTCTTAAAGCTCCAAGCTCTATGGTCCCTGCGTAGGGATGATGGACCAGGAGCTGGATGCTCTTCTGAAGCTGGGATAAAGGGGGATGCAGAGCAAGGCCCTGCAGATGGGAGAGGAGAAGGGAGCCCCAGTGGCACATCCCTACCTGGCAGGTGTCGATGCCACCCTGCGGGTACCCAGCACAGAGGTTGTGGCTCTTGAGGGCCCCTCGGTACCATTGGCTGCTATTGCAGAGCTTGACATCGATGAGGCGGACCTTGGCCTCCTGCAGGGCTGATGGGGACGATGCCCCTGCTGTGGGGAAACAAAGGGGGTCAGGATTAGGGGGACAAAGGATGGATTTGGGGGTATTGAAGGATGAGAAGCTCAATGGAAGCCATCAACAGCGCCCTATGGCCTGGGCTGCATCCCCTTTGCTCTGCATCCTCAACGTAAGGAGGACATGGAGGGACCTTCAGCGATGGGGCAAGGGGTGATGGGTTCCAACTGAAGCAGGGATGCTCAGGTTGGAGAGAAGGAAACGGTGGGACACTGGCATGGGCTGGATGGAGAAGGCTGGCATACTCCATCCCCAGTCGGAGCAACCTCCAATAGACCTGGATGAGCTTTACCCTCCCTTCCATCCCATTCCATGAACCCATGACCCAGCATTCCAATGCCAATGGAGCCATCGGGCACTCACTTCTGGCTTCCCTCGCGCCCCATCCGCTGACGAAGCACTCGGAGAGCTGGGATTGCCTGAGCGTCGCATCGGGCAGGCAAGCGAGCTGCACTTGGTACCCGCACTGCACCGGCTGGTCCAGCTCCAGCAAGGCGATGTCAAAGCCACCAGAGATGCCGGCGTAATATTCATGGACCACAACGTGCCGGATCCCACGCTTCTGGGTCTCGGAATTGGCCCAAGCCAGGTCCGTGACTCCGACCATCACGAACCAATCCATGGTGAAGCTGGGAGAGAGTGGAAGAGCAGGGATTAGAGCCGGAGGACAAAGGGTGATGGGTTCCGACTGGGAATTGTAGGGTGGAGATAGGGAAGGAATTTTCTGTGAGGGCGCTGGGGCACTGGGATGGGATGGATTGGAGAAGGTTTGGATGCTCCACCCCTGGCAGTGCTCAAGGCCAGCTTGGAGCAAGCTGCTGTATGGACGGCATCCCTGCCCATGGCAAGGGCTTGGAAGTGGATGACCCCAAGCTCCTTTCCAACCCAACCCATTCCATGGTCCATTCCATTCCATCCCTTTCCATTCCATCTCATTCCATGCCATTCCATTCCATTCTATGGAGAAGAGGGGTGGGAAGGAGCAACATTCCTGCTGCTTCCCAAAGGAAAGAACTGCCCCAGCGCGCCTCAGGCTCAAGGGCTGTCAAGTTGGAAGCAGGCTTCTCCTGAGAGCTCTTCCCAGTGCATCCAGGATGGGGAAGGGGACGGGATCGGAGCTGCTCCTTGGCTGTTCCCTATGGCTGGAATCCCTTCTCCCCCTTACTTTTGCCCAACGAAGCAGTGAGCAGCTGTGAGGACCCATTGCGGGGTGATGAGGGACCCCCCGCAGATGTGTGAAGAGCCGCTGGCTGTGGGGACCTGGATGCTGACCATCCATGGCCAGGCGCCCTGCTGCGCATCCACGCCTCCAACGATGCGCGACATCCCGTAGTAATCAGCCATGGGACGGGTACCGCAGGTCCCTCTGGAAGCAGAAGCCCAACGTTTGATGGTTAGGGATGAAGGGCGAGCATTGTCCCACCCTATAGGGTGCTGCAGGGAAAAGGGACCCTATGGGGTGCCCCATAGCTGCACTGTGCCACTGCATGGGGTGATGGCAAGGAAGTGGTGATCCCCAATCCCACCACCCCATTGGTGTGACCATGGTTGGGAGCAGCAGTATCTCCCTATGGAATACCGGGAGCCCCGGAGCCTGGTGCTACTCACCCACAGCTGTCCCAGGAGCCATGCACCAGCCAGGCCAATGCCAGCAGGATGAGGACACGGAGCAAAGCCTTTGCTGCCATTGCTGCTAAGGGTGACACCAAGGAGCTGCCACCGAGGAGCTGCAACCAAGGAGCTGCAACCGAGGAGCTGCTACCAAGGAGCTGCTACCAAGGAGCTGCTACCAAGGAGCTGCTACCAAAGAGCTGCAACCGAGGAGCTGCTACCAAGGAGCTGCTACCAAGGAGCTGCTACCAAAGAGCTGCAACCGAGGAGCTGCTACCAAGGAGCTGCCACCAAGGAGCTGCAACCAAGGAGCTGCTACCAAGGAGCTGCCACCAAGGAGCTGCAACCAAGGAGCTGCAACCACCACTGTGCCCAAAGTGCAACTGCCCCAGGGATACGGGTGCTGGATGCAGGTCCCTTGGTGCTGGGGCTGATGTCATAGAGATGCAGGTTCCATGGGGCAGGTTCCATAGCGGGGGGGGAGGTGGGTCCAACGCGGGGTCCATCAGGGGTTCAGTGACGGGGGCATGGGGACATGGGGGTGGTTCTGATGGGCTTGGGGTGATCTGAATCCTTATGAGATGCTCTGGAGCTCTGTGGAATGCTCTGGAGCCCTGTAGGATGCTCTGCTTGTGGGATGCTGTGAATCCCTGTGGGATGCTCTGAACCCCTATTGGATACTCTGCTTGCGGGATGCTTTGAATCCCTATTGGATACTCTGCTTGCGGGATGCTCTGAATCCCTATGGGACACTGGAGCTCTGTGGGATGCTCTGGAGCCCTCTTGGATTCTCTGAATCCCTATGGGATGCTCTGCTTGTGGGATGCTCTGGAGCTCCCTTGTGCCACTAGCTCCTTCCTAAGATCCATACACCAGAGAACATCCACACTGCAGCACAGAGGTGTGGGATCATGGATTCATGGAATCACAGAGTCATGGAATGGGTTAGGTTGAAGGCATCTTAAAGCTCATCCAGCTCCAATCCCTGCCATGGGCAGGGACACCTTCTATAGAGCAGGACGCTCCAAGCTGCATCCAACCATGCCCGCTTTCAGGAACACCCCACAAACCCCATTCCTTCTGCCCCAATCCCTTTCCAATCCCTTCTTTTCCCCAAACACCCCCCCTCCCCCCATGCCCCCCAAATTCCATGGATTTGGCACCATTTGAACTCCCAACTCCCCTCCAAAGATGGCTTTTAACAATAACCTGGGCCCCATTCCACCTCTTCTTGGCCCAAAGCAGAGGCTGGGAAGCTGCTTCTGGGGCAGCAACCATGTCCTTGGATCCACGCCTGCACAGAGGCTCCTGCTGCCGGATCCCACTTCCAGGCTCTGCGATTTAAGGACAACCCCTTCACCGCTCCTTTCCCCCCAAAACCCGGGATTTTGGGTGCTTTCCAGGGGAAAAAAGTGGCGGTTTTGGGATCAATGTGGGATAAATCCTCACCAGGGAACTTGCTCACCAGGGAAAGTCGCTCACCCTACAAACGCTGGCCTGCTCGGCAGCAGCTACAGCAGCCTGCCTGCTTCAGCAGCAACCATTAATACCTCCCAGAAACCGCACTTTTGCATTAACCCTTTCATGTCTGAAATGTTAAATTGCTACCCGTTAAAAACTTTTACATGAACCCGACAACAACAACAAAAAAATACACAGAACACCGTCTGCCCTCAACACACACACACACACGTATGGGATTCCACAAGCACACTCAACACAACTACAATATTTGAAGCACAAAATGCAGACAATCGTTATTCCCACTACAGTCCCATGTACAGAACGTGGCACAAGGACCCTGTGGAGACTTAAGAGCAAACCAGCTCCGAGAAACATCATTGCAGTGCGAGGTGGCAGGCTCAACCTTAGCCGGCATCCCTGCAGAGGCTCTGCCTCCCCCACAGCGCATGGGGCTTGGGCTTTCATACTGACCAAAATGCACACTCATTCTGACACAGGTGGCCAGCCTATGTTGGAAGAAGTGGCCAGCAATATCTATAAAGGTCTCCAAAGGTCAATAGAAACCTGGACGTACTTATATTTACCAACTTCTAGTACATGAGTATCACAGAGAAACTGTATT